ATCCTCTTTTGTTGCCAGTTCAGAGCGTCCAGGTGGTTGAGTATCAGATTGTTCCATCTCGTTTCCCTTTGGGGTTGCTGTAGATGATCTGGAAGTCTGTTTTTGAGGCTTGTTTATGTGTCTTCTCATTTCCACGGTGGTGGGGGGGGGAGCTTCTGGTGCCCGTGTGGCTCACCTTCTCTGCCCTAGGAGCTTCAGATGGCAGTGGGGGAACTTCCTTCCGGGTGCTGGGACCAGCTCAGCTTCTCTGTCCTAGGAGCTTGGGATGGGGGACACACATATTTAAATAACATGTTGTTTCTCTGATGTGAGAAACTGAATGTGGAATTAAGGACTGAGATGTATAATGGATGTTGGGAAATGAAGAGAAAGTGTTCAAATGAGAAGAGAGGAGGGAGGGGGAAAGTAAGGAAGGGACAAGAGAGAAGTAAAAATAGAAGGAAAAAATGGGAGGCAAGACTTTTGTACATAGGTGAGGGAGCTTGAGGGGGAAATGGGATAAAATAAAATAAAATTTATTTTTAAAAAAGAGATAAAAAGGATTCGGGATGTATCTCAGTATGAAGATCCTGGGTTCAATCCCAGTCACTCCCCCCCCAAAAAAGAAGTATCTGGTTTGGTGGCGTATTTGGTAGGCTGAGACAGGAGGATTATAAATTCTAAGCCAGTCTGAACTACATAGGACTACTAGTGAGGCTTTGTTTCCAAAACAAAGCAAAAAACAGTGTAAGACAATTATACTCTGAATACCCTGAAGAAAATCCACAAATTTATATAATAATGATATAAAATTTATATAACAATGATGGTACTATTTTAATAAGCTATATTTGAATAGTCTAAAGAATGTCTTTTGTTCCTAATTAAATATAATTTAATTATATTAAATTACATTGAGCAATTGTGTAGTGCTATTTTCATCCTACCTGAATTATAGTTAAACTGCCATTCAGTGACTAACTGAATAAATGAATTCTTTTGTCCCATGATTCCCTACTAAATTCTTACCAGTGCTGCAAAGGATAAAATTAAAGACCCTAATGATTACTTTAGAGTAATCTAAAATCCTACTATTTGTTTTATTTTGTTTTATGAGACAGGGTCTTACTATGTAGTTAAGACTTGCGGGCTGGCCTTGAACTCAACTGTAGCCCAGGCTAACCTCAAAGCCTCAAACTCATGGTGATCTTCCTGCTTCAGCTTACAAGTGCTGAGATTATAGGTTTTTGTCACTGTCCCTAGATCTGGAATCCTACTTTTAAGAGATTTGGTGTTAAGTGGAACTAGATTCATACTCAGATTCTGCCACATTAACCTTTCTGTGGTCTTCCCTTTCCCACCTAATGAAATGAGGGCTAGTATATAAAATCTCAAAGACTAAATAGATAATCTTAAAAAAAGTGTCAGACACAGTGCCTGGAACAAGTAGATGTTTAATAAATGGTTGCAGCTATTATCAAGTGTGATAATATGATGATGGAAAAGGTGTAAGTCAGTGTCCACTGAATGAATGAAAAACAGCCAAGCTGATTGTTTTCTTACTGTTGTGATAAAACTAAATATGGTTAGTTAATTATTTAACAGTCAGTGTGGTTAGACATGTTCATGCACATAAAGGCTCATAAAAACAGAATCAGAAAACAAAAAAGGCTTACCTAGATAGAACAAATGAACTGTTTGTTGGGATGTTTAGTAATCTTGGCAAACAAAAGTAAAGAGGCAGAAGAATATTCATTTGTGATTCATATCTTTGACTCAGACATTCTTTTCTTGGGAATTTATTCTATGGGAATAATTACAGATATGCACATAAGTATAATTAGCATAATTACAAGGAAGGACATTCATCACTTCAGTGCCTGTCTTCAACCCATTGATTTGCTTTCTGTTACTATTGATTAGGTTGCATCTCTTAGAATTTTATATGAATGAAATTACAAATCACACAACATGTACTCTTTTGTGTCTGGCTTCTTTCATTCAGCATAATGATTTGAGGTTTAGCCATGCTGTTGCAGGTATCAGTAATCATAATTGAATAATATATAATTGTGTGAATGTCATTTTTTATCCATTTATCTGTTAACAGACATTTGGGTTATTTCTCAAATTACAACCCAGATTTGGCTGTTACAGATTAAGCTTGTATGAACTTTCAGTGTTTTCTCTTGGATAGATGCCAAGGGGTGAGATGGCTATGTTGAATGGTGTGTTCTTCTTCAGAAACTCTCAAAGTTTTTCCAGAGTGGTTGTACCCTTTTATATTCCCATGAGCATGAGTGGTGGGAATATGGCTCATTTTAGAGAGATGACTTAAATTATAAAAGTAACTAAATGATTAAAGCATATAACATGATGGTGATATTAAGCCAACATGATATTACCTTACAGGAAAGTTCTGAAGAATAAATGAATTCATGTGTTACCAAAAAAAAATTTTTTTAGCACAGAGTAAATGCTCAGTATCCCTTATTTTTGTCATTATCCTGTTAAGTTAACTTATTTGGTCTTTACTAATAGTAATAAGTAAGTGACTACTTTTTTTCCTACAGTACTGGGGATTGAATCTAAGGCTCACACATGCTAGGTGAAACCCTTTTTATTGTTATTTTGAGACAAGACCTCTCTAAGTTGCCCAGGCTTACCTCAATCTTGTGATCTACCTACGGTCAGCCTCCTGAGTAGCTGACATTTCAGGCATGTGCCACTGTTTATTGATCTGACAGATTTAAACAGCCTGGCCAGGTGTAGCAGTGCATGCCTATGATCCCAGCACTCTGGGAGGCTGACACAGGAGGAACACAAGCTCAGGACTAGCCTAGGCAACTTAGTGACTTAGAGAAACCCTATTTCAAAATTAAAAAGGGGGCTGGGATGTACCTCAGTTTGAAAGCCCAGGGTTCAATCCAAATCCGCAGTACTATAAAAAGTAAAAACAAACAGATTGGGCTTTAGAGATCAAAGTCACATATAAAAAAGCTCATATTTATAAAAATATCCTTAAATACAAATTTCTTTTTTCCCTTTCCAATAGAGAGGGCAGTAATTCCTTGGCATTGTAGTAATACAAAAATTAAAGTTTGCTGCTGTAACATATCAGGTCATGATGATTTATGTATTTATATTTGAAATCAGATTTCTCTAACTTGTATTTGTGTACAGAATTCTTTGTGGGCTTATATATTTTGAAATTTTTATTCAAGATTCAGATGTGGATTATGCTTAACAGTAAAAGTTGAAATGAGACCATTTACTTTGTTTAAAGTGCTGCACTGTACAAGTTTGGGTATGTGCATTAATAATTTACTGTATAAGCCGGTCATTAGTGGCACACACCTGTAATCCCAGCACTTGCGAGGGTGAGACAGAAGATCACCATGAGTTCAAGGCCAGCCTGGGCTACATAGTGAGTTCAAGGCCAGACTGAACTACATAGTGAGATCCTATCTCAACCCCCCAAAAAATTACCATATATAATATCTTGAGTTTGATTATACTTCCCAAGTTTTTACACTGAAGATAAACTAGCTTTAATTAAATTCGAAATTTTCTATTTATTTTTTTAAGGAATAAGCTGTTGGGCTATATCTGCATAAATGTGCCTTTTTCTGGATGCACAATGAAAGTTTATACTCTCTGCTTTGTATTTGATTGCAGAAGTTAAAGCACAGTTTACAAGTAAAATATTAAAGCTTGCCATTATTTTAGTTTAGTCTTTATATATGATTTTTATTGCACTCTTGGCTCTTTAAGGAGTGACCTTTCATTTTCTGTTGTTTGACTATCATTATGCTTATTTAAAATGTTTTTTGATAGAGACTTCACCTTCTCTCTGGGATGTGGAATTTGCAAAGCAGTTAGCCACAGTAAATGAACAGCCCTTTCAGAATGGGTTTGAAGAAATGATCCAGTGGACAAAAGAAGGGAAACTGTGGGAGTACCCAATTAACAATGAAGCAGGTAAGTGTTCATTTCAGAGGCTTACAACATTCATTGATTAGAGATTATTCCTGGAAGATGATCAGTTTTAGAGTCTAGATATTGGCCAGGCATGGGCCAGTATTGCCCATGCCTATAATCCCAGCACTCAAGAGGCTGAGGCAGGAGGATCTCATGAGTTTGAGGCCAGCCTGGGCTACATAATGAGTTCAAGCCAACCTGATTTACGTAGTAACACCTTGTGTCAAAAAATAAAAATAAATAAAAAGAGTAGATATTTATATGAATCTCAAAACCCTGTAAAGTACCAGGTGTAGTGGCACACAACTGTAATTGCAGCACTCTGGAGGCTAAGGCAGAAGCATTGCTGTGAATTTGAGGCCAGCCTGGACTACATAGTGAGTTCAGGGCCTGGGATTTAGTTCAGTGGTGCTGCACCTGCCTCACAAGTGCAGGGTCCTGAGTTTGATCCTCGGTACCAAAGAACAAAACAACAAAAACATAGTGAGTTCAAAGGCAGCCTGAACTACATAGTGAGACCCTATATCAAAAACAAACAAACAAAAACCCACTATAAATATCTTCATGCTGTCCTAGAAGAAATCTGATAGTTTTTTAAGAGTGTTAGAAATATACTTAATTCCAGATAGTTGATAAGGAAAATAAATAAAGTATATGGCAAAAATGCATCGTGAATTTCTGTGACATAAAAGATTGAGAACTACAAAAGCTGGCAGTGTTCTAGTTGCTAAGCAGAACATTCTTTGGTATATCTTCTTTTTTATACCACAAATCGAACTCGGGACCTTGTGATTGCCAGGCAGGTGATGTGCTGCTGACATCCCTGGCTAGTATATCTTCTAGTACATTAAATACTGGCTGTGAGATTATAATTCAGCTTTGGAGAACGTTACAACTTTTACACAACTTTCTCCCCCCCCCCCCGCCCCCGTCTTTCTTTTATTTCATTCTATGCTGGGGATTGAACCCAAGGCCTTCCATCTGCCAGGCAAGCTGTACCTCAGCCCCCATCACTGGCTTCAGGCATTATACTGGTGTCTTTTATTCATCAAACCACTGTATTAATCAGGTGCAAGATATTTTAAATGCTGCTCAGAGCAACAGTGTTTGGGAAGCTTTGGAAACTTATAGCTGCACAATGTAGATGCTTTTGAGTTGGTAATGGAATATTATCTATTTTCCTGGATATTTTCTGAACTTCTTTTTTTTGTTTTGTTTTTGTTTTTGTTTTTGTTTTGGTACCAGGGATCAAACTGGGACCCTGTGCTTGCAAGGCAGGCAAAGGAACCACTGAGCTAAATCTCCGGCCTCTGAACTTCTTAACCAAAAGGAAAACAGTATCACGATGCTATTTATTCTTTCATGGCACCTCTGTTCTCATAAGTTAAACATTCTCATTAAATTTTCTAGGAGCATTTTCAATTAGAATAGATTTATTTACCTTTATGGTAAGAATAGTGACAGTCTAAGTCTTGGGAAATATAGTCCATATTTTAACCTTCATGGGGTTATGGTATCATTGTGATTTTTAAAATTTTTGATAACCTTTTTTGGGGTAAACTTTTATTTATTTGGGTTAATAAATGGAATGAAAGCTTTAAATATCAAAAATATTTAGTAGTATATTTTCATAAAGTATTAACTTTCTGTAGGAAAACTATAGAAACTTATAAACCCTTTAGCAAATTCTTACTTTTAATATTCATATGGTATATGCAGTAACATAGCCTGCTGTATTTCACTTTTTTTTTTTTTTTGGTGGTACTAGAGATTGAGCCCTAGACCTTTACACTAAGCTACCCTACTCCTGTTTTATTTATTTTTGTTTTTGTTTTTTTGAGACAGAGTCTTACTCTGTAGTTCAGACTGGCCTTGTACTCACTAAGTAGCCTAGGCTGGCCTTGAACTCACAGTGATCTTCATGCCTCAGCCTCCTGTGCTGGGATTATAGACTTGCACCACCACACCTGGCTTCCAAAGACTTCTTAGTTGTGCATACCTTAGTGCCAATCTCAGGTGTCATTTATTGGCCATTTGGCTTTGAGGACATTATTTAACCTTCTGAGCCTCAGTTTCTCATCTGCAAAATTGAAGGTATGTCATCAGGAGAATGTGAGAAATTAGATAAAGTTTCTGAATTGCTCTACATAGTTCCTAGCATATATAGTAGATACATGTTAGTTCCTTTCATCTTTTTTTAGGACTATAGAATTTTAAAGGAGTAAAAGACTAAGAAAATGCAATGTGTAGTATCAAGAAAATATTTCATTTACTGTTGGAACATCTTTGGATTTCATTGTTTGATGAAACCTGTGTGTTTTAAAGTACGCAGGAGTTAAAAACCCAGTATGGAGGAGTAACAGGTGACTATTCAGGAGAGATGTGGAAAATGGTGCTTAGTAGTTGAAGTTCCTGAGTCATAAATTTAATCTCTTCAGCCCTCAATTCCTTCATCTCTGAAATGATGAGAATAATATTAGGACTTACGTTACAGGATTCTTCTGAGAAACAAGTGAGGTTATACATGTAAAGTAGCATCCTCATCTGTTTTTGCAGTACCCCAACTTAAGAACCAGTTCTGAGAGAATGTGTATAAGTCAGATTCATTTGTATCCAACAAAGTGAGCCTTATACAGTACACCTGTGAAAGTTCTCGAATGTTCATGGGAACTTACTGTTTTGTGAAATAATTTGCTACTATAACTTCTATACTGAACATTTAAAACTTTTTATAGTATAACATTTGTAAATCTTAAAATATTAGCAAAAGTGGGCTGGGGATTTAGCTCAGTGGTTTCACTGCCTGCTGTGATCCCTGGTACCAAAGAAAAAAGAAATATTAGCAAAAGTATCAGGTATTATCTAGAAACCATCAATGGGATGGTAGAAAGCCATGAGTTGGCGGTACATTGTATCAACAGTGAAGCATTTAAATCCATCAAAATTGTCAGTGTCCAAACTCCAAATGAATTTTTCTTTAATTGACATGATTTTTTTTTTTTTGGTACCGGAGATCGAACTCTGGACCTTGTGCGTGTGAGGCAGGCGGCGGAACCACTGAGCTAAATCCCTGGCCCAATTTGATGTGATTTTTGAGAAAACTTTCTTGAAAGGAGAGAGACATATTTTTTAGTCAGGTTGGAGAGATAAATGTGACAAGTGTCCATATACACTGTACATGTTATTGATGGGTCAGGGTTGGAAAGGGATGGGTTAGGTATCTGGTTTCCAGCTCTGAGAGACAATTGTTATCCGAAGAGAAAACAAGAAAGAAGCTATGGAAACTCACTTTTATCGTTTCTTCTCAACACACATTTAGAAAATTCTGAGTACGTTGAGAGATTGACATTATAAATATGTAACCTGGCGCCTCAACAGTTTGATACCTTTCTTTTGTATTTCTCATATTTAAATTTTATGATTAATGAACTGCCATGCTTTCCCTACTAATAATTGGCTTTATGAAGTTTTACTTTGATGCTATTGGGGAAAGATTTTTGTTTTTTAGTGGCTCACTGTGTCCCTTTGGGATCACAGTATTGAAAATGACATGTTCTGTGATTACAGTTTACTTCCTAGTGTTGTATTTTTCCATTATATAACAAACTGAGGTTCAGATTACTTATTTGAGACCTTTCCTTTTATAAGTATACATTTAGTGCTACATCCCTCCCAGCACTGCTTTAGCCGTGTCCCACAAATTTTGATTTTTTTTGTACTTTCACTTTCATTCAGTTCTATGTACTTTTATTTTTTTTGCAAGTTCTATATATTTTTAAATTTTCCTTTGAAATTTCTTCTTTGAGCTATGGATTACTTCTAAGTGTGCTTAATTTTCAACTGTTTGAAGATTTTCTTGTTGTCTTTTTTATTTTTTTTTAAGACAGAGTTTCACTACGTAGTTCAGGCTAGCCTCAAATTCACAGCAATCCTCCTGCCTCTGCCACCCGAGTGCTGGGATTACAGGAGTGAGACACCAGACCTGGCCTGTTGTCTTTCTTTTACCATTCTATTCAGAGAGCTTACTGTGTATTATTTCAGGGTTTTTTTAGTTTTTAAATTTTTTGTTTTTGTTTTTGAGACAGGATCTTGATATGGATTCCAGGCTGGCCTTGAACTCACTATATAACCTAGGGTGGCCTGGAACTTGTGGCAATCCTCCTGCCTCAGCCTCCTCAGTGCGGGGATTACAGGCATGTGCCATGATGCCCGGCTTTGTTTCAGTTTTTAAAAATGTGTTTGTCTTGTTTGCTCAAGGCCCTGGATTTGATCCCCAGCAGTGCAATGAATGAATGGATGTATTGAGGTTTGTTTCATGATTCAGGATATAACCTCGCTAGGTAAATGTTCCTTGGGTGTAAAAGGAATTTGTATTCTGGAGTTTTGTAGTGTTTGATAGATGTTAATTTGATCTTGTTGCTGGGTATGGTAGCACACACCTGTAATCCTAGCACTTGGAAGGCTGAGGCAGGAGGCTCACTGTGAGTTTGAGGCCAGCCTGAACTACGTAATGAGACCCTGTCTCAAAAAAAAAACAAAACTGATCCTGTTGGTTGGTGTTCAGTTTGTGTTTTTGGTAGTTTGTTATCCTAGTAGTTCTATTGATTGCTTACAGTATGATGTTGAAATCTCCAACTATAATTTTGAATTTTTCTTTTTTTTTGGCACTGGGGATCGAACTCGGGACCTTCCGCTTTTGAGGCAGGTGGTGGAACCTCTGAGCTAAATCCCCAGCCCTTGAATTTTTCTATTTCTATTAGTTTTTCATTCATTCATTCATTTATTTTGGGGGCGAGATTGAGACAAAGTTTCACTATGTACTTCAGGCTGGCTTCAAACTCTTGGTGATCCTCTTGCCTTAGCCTCCCCAGTGCTGGAATTACAGGCATGCACCACCACCCCTGCCTCTTGTCTTTCACTTATTTAGAAATGGGTCATACGTAATTAGGATTGCTGTGTTTTCTTAGTTGATTGATCCTTTATGTTCCTTTTTCTTCCTGTAACTTGTCTTTGCTTTGAAATACTACTTTATCTGCTATTTGTATTGTCACTAATGCTTTTTTAAAAAAAATTAGTGTTACCAAGATAAATACTTTTATTTTTTACTTTTAACCCACTTACTTATGTTTAAGTAAAGTTTTTGTTGGACAGCATATACTTGTATTATACAGTAGTACCTTGGTTCACGAACTCAATTCTTTCCACAATTCTGGTCACAAACCAAATTGGACAAGAACTAAATCAAATTCAATGGTTAGGTTCAGTGTTGATTTTATGGAGAAACTTGGTTCTCATCCAATTCAGTTTGCAAGCAGAATCGTGAAAAAAATTAAGTTCATGAAACAAGGTACCACTGTATTTTAAACCCACTGTGCCAATCCCTGTCTTTTGGTGTAGTTGGGCCATTTATATTTACAGTAATTATTGATTTATTAGGACTTAAGTCTCTCCCATTTTATTTGTTTTTTGTTCATTTTTTCCATTTCTCATTTCTTTGTCTTGTCTTTGCTTCCCACCCCCCCAACCCCCACTAGGGATTGAACTCAGGACCTTGTGGTTGCCAGGCAAGAACAATGCCACTGAGCTACATCCCTGGCCCTTCTTTGCTTTTTTTGAAGGCTACTTGAATTTTTCTTTTTCATGATTCCATCTTTTTTAATTTACATATTTTAAAATACAGTTTGTATAGTTTTCTTAGTGGTTGCCCACGCTGAACATTTACTCTAGGCATTGTCCATTTAATCTTTATTGAAACTACAGGAAGGTAGTCTTTTAATCCTTATATTATACCTGAGGAAATTGAGCTCAAAGAGGTTGAGAAATTTGTCCATGAGCCGGGGATTTAGCTCAGTAGTTCTACCGCTTGCCTTGAAAGCGGAAAGTCCCGAGATCAATCCCCGGTACTAAAAAAAAAAAAAAAAGAAAGAAATTTGTCCAAAGTCACTTGTTAAATTGGTGGGCAAACCCAGGTCTGACTCCAAAATCCATACCTTTAACAATATTGCCTCATTAATGTTAATTTTATGATGTAGGCTTTATAATCAAAATTATAATTTTTTGTCTTATTTTCTAGGTTTTGATGATGATGGTTCAGAATTTCATGAACATATATTTCTGGATAAATACCTGGAGGATTTTCCAAAACAAGGACCAATTCGCCACTTCATGGAGTTGGTGACTTGTGGCCTTTCCAAAAACCCATATCTGAGTGTTAAACAGAAGGTTGAACACATAGAGTGGTTCAGAAATTATTTTAAAGATAAAAGGGACATTTTAAAAGAAAATAACATACAGTTCAACTAAGACCTTAGAGATTTTTATTTCAAGCTTTTGGAGATGGAGATTATAATGAAATAAAATAATTCTACTAGTTTTTATGTTAATTATTACATCTGATTTGTCTGATATATGTCATAAAGAATCCACTTGTCAAAAATAGGCTTTTGAAAGGAAAGTTTATTCCAGTGAACAGAGACTGAAATCAGGAGATTCTGGGCTATCTGGGAAAAGCCGAGTTTCTCACATCTGTGTGTGGATGGGCTGACATTGGGAGAGAGAGATAGTGGCAGCTAGCTGGGAGAGATTTCATCCATGAGTGGATGGGCTAACACCAGGAGAGAGAGAGAGATATTAGCAACTAACTGGGAAAGGAATTAGGCTTATATAGGTATTGGAGGGGCTAAGGAATCTGGGGTGAAATATTTATGACTTGGATGCTCAAGGATGGTCTGCTCAGGTGTGTACAGTTACTGGACTTCTCTGCACCAAGGGCATTGTATACTACATTTTGAGTCCATTTGCACTATTTACTGGGAAGCTGCTGTTGTTTGCTAAAAGCAGCCTGTTTGCTTTGTCCCATTTGTTTGTGAAGAACTCACTTAAGTCATGCCTGATAATATAAATGTTAGTTTTTAAAATATGATGGTACCTAAAAAATACCCTTCTATGGAGAAAAGTCCATTCATAGGTTTTAAAAGAATCTCTGAGAATTAGTGGTAGGTTTAAGACAACTACACTTAACTTTTTTCTTTTCACTCAGTGCCTATACTTCTTTGAAATACAGTGTAATTATTAGCTGTATATCTGATAACACCAAAGTACTTGTGCTAGTCCTTTTTTTTTTTTGCTACTACAGCAAAATACCAGGCTTACTTTACAAAGAGAATAGATTTATTTAGCTCACAGTTTTGGAGACTGAAAGTCCAAACAGCAAGATTGGAGCTCTGGCAAGGAAATCACAAATGTCAGGAACATGTGTGGGAGGAAGAGATCACACCCTGAAAAGGCGTCTGGAGAAGTGGGCTCCCACAGTCCCTGCTGAGGGCCCTGATGACCTCAGGAGCCCTACTAGGCCCAGCTTCTTGAAGCACATACTTCCTGCAGGGAGGACCAAGCCTTCAGTATAGGAACCTTTGGGCAAAATGCTCAAACATATCCAAATCTCTGCAGTGCTGTTTGTAATAGCATTGATTTGACTTGTAGACATGTCTATATGCATAAATACATGGTTTTTGTGTATTTGCATATATATTTATATTTTATATATTTCACACTGACTTACCCTCATCTAAATCTGTATCACTGTAAAGAAGTAACCTTGGCCAAGCATGGTGGTGCACACCTATAATCCCTGAATTTGGAAGGCTGAGGCAGGAGTACCACGAGTTCAGGGCCAGCCTGGGCTCCATCGTGAATTCAAGGCCAGCCTGAACTGCATAGTGAAACCCTGGCTGAAAAAAAAGTAACCTTGTAGAAGTAAGTGGCTTATTATCTAGTCCCTTCTAATACTTTTAAGTCTTTGTCAAAATTAAAACTTTATTTTCCTTTATGGTGTTTAGCAGTGACTGTACAACTTGAAAAAATAAAGATTCTTAAAAAACCTCTCAAGCCTCACTTCATGACACAGACCTGCAAAAAACAAAAAACCAAGAAAACAGGGCAGGGGATGCAGCATAGTGGGAAGACCCTGGGTTTGACCTCCAGTATGAATAACTAATTAAATATTAAAACTCAAAACAAATTTTAGTTTGCATTGGCCCCAGGCTAGTGGTGTTCCTGATCTATAGTAACAAATTGACAGGAATCATACAAAAGAATCTACCGTAACCAGGGGCCACAGATTACAAAACCTGCTGGGAAACGAGGTACATGAAGGGGCACAAGACCACAGAATTAGACTTGTAAAGCCTTTGAATATTGGACTTAACAGATTCAGAATATAAAATATGTGTACAATAGAATATTGAGAATATTTTAAAGTAATTAAGCAGAGATTAACAGCATATTAGACTCTAGAAAACTGTTCGAAAGAAACTGCCCGTATTGAAAAAAAAAAGCTAAAAAGGGATATTTGTATAATCATGACCAGGAGACAAAAGGGGAAACTACTTTGAAGCTGTTTTGGACAATTAAATGATTGAGTTTCTTTTAAAGTTAATGAAAGATAATAACTCAGTTAAGCAACTAATGCTAACAATAATACATTCTTTTCAAGTACATATGGAGCACTTTAAAATTGGACGTTGGTGTAATATATGTGTTATTGATATATTTGGAATATCTTTCAAAAATGAGGGCTGAATACAGTTGTCAGATACACCAAAACAATTGGCTACCCAGAGACCCTCACTATAAGACCCCCAAAGATGTAAATGACGGGTATAATTACCATCTCACAGGGTTTGTAGGTGTTAAGAGGGGCATGCCAATAACTGGCATAGTCTATGTGCTTCCAAAATGATGGCAGAGCTGTGTGTGGTGGCACATGCCTCTAATCCCAGCTACCTGGGAGGCTGAAGCAGGAGGATCACAAATTTGAAGGCTGGGGATTTAGCTCAGTGGCACTGTGCCTGCCGTGAAAGTGCAAGGACCTGAGTTTGATTCCCGGTACCAAAACAAACAAAAAACAAATTTGAGGCCACCATGTGCAGCTTAGTGAGGCTCTATCTCGAAATGAAAATGGCTGGGTATGCAGCTCGGTGATTTTGTGCTTGCCCATCTTGCACAAGGGTCCTGGGTTCAGTCTCCTGTACTGAAAATTAAATCAGTTCTGTTTCCATATACTCCTTCCCAGATCTCCCCAGTGCCAGGATGAACACATTGAGTCCTGTTTTCACTCCAGCATTTAATTGGGAATGATAGCATGCTACTTTTACATTTTCAGATCTAGTTACCAATACCCAACATAGGTGAAATAGAGTATTTCATTTTAATGAAATATTTCCCTCACCCTCCAGTACCTATAAACAGTCATTTTTAGCACTATTTTGAAAATCAGTTTTGTTGACTTCTGCTTTAGAAGAAAATGGAAATGGTCTGAGACATTGAAAGAGAAGAGTTTGTCATCTAATCTCTATTCAATCTCATATGTGTAAGGTCAGACTGAGGCATGATTGAGACCACCAAGGCAGGCAAAATCTAAGCAACATGCGATGAATTTATTGCCATCTGGGTGCAGATGGGCCAAGGGCGAGAAGGTCGTTGGCACTGAGAGGAGGGTGGTTATATGTGGCATTTGAGGTAGGGGAGGGGCACTGCTCAAGAGGGTGGAAAAGTTTAGAGTTCCATTGGCGATGGGCCTGGGGCTGGCTGATAAACAGGGCGGTGGTGAGAGCAGCAGGGCGGCTGCTGGCTTCTTGTTGTCTCTGCTCCTGTTGATGTGAGTAGGGGGTCTGCTTGGGCGGGGGTCCAACTTGGGGGACCTGTCAATATTTAGGTGGTTCAAACTCACTGCTAGGAAGAGAGGCCCAGGTATGTCCAAATGAGTAGATGTCCTTAACAAGTGTTTTCTCTGTTGTCTTTTTGTTATTTTTTAGCTCTTTGAGACAAAGTCTTGCTATGTAGTACAACATGACCTCAAACTCAGCAGTCCTCCCATCTCAGCCTGCCAAAGTGCTGGGACAGGCATGTGCTACCATGCCCAGCTCTGTGGTCTGTCTTAATATTCCTGTGGATATTCCAAAGAAGCAGAAGAAGAGTAGATCTCCCCATATTAAAAAAATGATAATGACTGATATCCATGTGGTACTTTGATATCATATAAAGTGATTTCACATACATCATCCATTTGTTCAGCATTTCCTGACCTGGCTATTGCTAGACCTCTACTAGCTACCAAATTATTAATACACTGGTGAGGTGCTTCCTGACCTCAAGGCCATGTGACATCCTGAAGACAGCTTCTCTTCCTACTTTGTGAAGTTGCTTCTTGCTTCTTATTGTCTTAATACTCCAAATGCTTTACCATGTCTCGTATCCTGGTCTTAAGTGGTGGGGGCAGGGGGCAGAGGTACCATTGCTAAATAGTATGAAGGGTGCCAAGGTGGAGAAAGATGGGCTGAGGGGATAAAAGACAAGCATTTCATCAGACACGTTAGATCACACACACACACACACACACACACACACACACACCATAGTAGGTCTATCAGGCCAGCACAGTCTTGAGAATGACTGGGGAGATCTACCTAATTCTGGGTGCAGAATTTGAGCCATTTGCCTGTAGGTAGGACATACTACATGCTGTCTGCATCAAAGTCAGCTTTGGGCCAGAGATTTAGCTCAGTGGTGCTGCCACCTGCCTCTCAAGTGCAAGGTCCTGAGTTTGATCCCTGGTATCAAAAAACCAAAAGCAAACAAAAAGCTTTGTTCATAATACAAGTAACTTTTTAGTCTCCATGTGACAAAGTTATTTTAATCTCACTTGGTAATGGTTCAGAATTGGGTAAGGGAAGAAGTGCACAGTTATTTTTCCCTTCTATACTGTTTAAGTATCTAATTCTTATGCTACTGTTTTATTTGCTTTCTTTTATCACTTACAAAAATAAGTCAAACTGACATAGTCATATCTTGGGACAGTGGTGGTGAAGCTATGACATGCATGACACACAGAGCCCTCACTATTGGCCAAATTGCCCTGGCAGCCAAGCATTGGATAGTCAGGTTTAATTGCAGTCTTAGCAGTTTGTGATAGATAAGTGGGTTTTGGGTTGCAGTTTGATCACTTGGTCTCTTAAAGGTTCATTATCACTATCTTAGGAAAATATTATTTTTGCTTTTAGAAAAGAAAACAGGAAAAAGGTAAATTAGTTAAATGAAATACTATCACTGAATAGAGTCAGAAGTCCCAGTCTTTTTGGCTGCCACAAATAAATTAGTGAGTGGGCCAGGGATTTAGCTCAGTGGTTCCAGTGCCTGCCTCACAAGCGCAAGTTCCCGAGTTTGATCCCTGGTACCAAAAAGAAAAACAAAACAAAATAAATAAATGAGTAAGTGGCCAAAAAATAAAGATAAAAACTTGTTCATGATTCTCCCTGGGTTTTAATACATTCATATGAAGAAACAATGCAAATGAAAATAAAGATAAATTGCTGCAAAATATAAACTATGATGAAATCACAATTATAATAGGTGAAAACAACACAAATGACCCATAATAGATGAATGAATAAACAAAATGGAGTACAAGTATTTGTGTACAATGGAACATCCTTTAGCCTTAAAAAGAAATGATATTCTGATTCATGCTATAGCATGGGTAAACAACATAGCAGACACTATGTAAAGTGACATAAGCCACACGGAATGACAAGTATTGTATGATTTTGCTTAAAGGAAGTACCTAGAACAGTGAAATTCATAGAAAGTAGAATGATTCTTACCGGGGTTGCCGAAAGGAGTAGGGGAAGTGAATCAGAGTCAGTGTTTTAACTAGTACAGGATTTCATTACAGGAAGCTGAAAACTTCCTAGAGGTAGATGGTGGTGATGGTTGCACAACAATGCCTGTATAGTACTTCACACTACCAAATCATACATTTAAAAATTATTTAGATGGAGCCAGGCGTGGTAGTGCACACCTGTAACCCCAGAACTCGGGAGGCTGAGGCAGGAGGATCACTGAGTTTGAGGCCAGCCTGGACTACATAGTTAGATCCTGTCTCAAATAAAGGTGGGCTGGGTATTTAGCACCACACCTAGGTCCTGAGTTTGATCCCAGTACCAAAAAAAATTATATTTTACCACAAAACAAACTTTTAAAAGGCTGGAGATGTAGCTCAGTAGTAGAGCACATGCCTAGCCTGTGTGAGACCCTGGGCTCAATACCTGTATCCCCTTCCCCCCAAATTGTAAAAATGCTAAAGCACATGTATAATAAAAATATTCCAACTATTGAAAAGACGGATGTCCTGTACCCATGCCAGAGAATCACATGGCATCCTGACAAAGAGCACGTATTTAGCAAAGGTGATTGTCAGTTCCAGGCCTTCAAGGTTACGTGTCAGTCTGCCACCACTGCCGGGGTTCTTCTGAACAGTCTGGCCCTGTACTATGTACTTCACTTACATTATCTCACTGAATTTGTAAAACACCCTGAAAAGTTAAGTGTTGTTCTCATTTATGGAAGTTAATAACTTTCCCAAGGTTGCTAAGTAAATAAGTGGTGCAGCAAGGGTTGAAGCCTGAATCAGCAAAACTAAATACTGTACTTGTTCCAGTACATTTCAAAAATAGCTTTTAGGAGGATTGGGGATGTAGCTCAGTGGTAGAGCACTTGCCCAACCTGTTTGAGGCCCCAGGTTTTGATTCCCAGAATGAACTTAAAAAAAAGCTTTTAGGAACAATTATATGGATAACCTATAGTAAGATATAGGTTCAATGTTATGGTTATACCTAGATGTCCCCCAAAGCCTCTTGTGCTCATAGGTGGGACTTTTGGGAGGTGGCTGGATCATGAGCATGTGACACTCATCACTAGATTAGTCCACTGATGGGTTTATATATAGCTGGATGTGATGTTGAGAGGTGAAGCCTGGGGGAAGAGGTGGGTCACTGTGGGTGTGGCCTGGATGGCGATATATCCATATGTATATATCCATCTGTT